TGTGTGTGTGTGTGTGTGCGCGCGCGCCCGCGCGCGTGTATGTGTGTGTTTGTGTGTGTGTGCGTTTTGTTTTTCTGTTTGTTTGATTGTTTGTGTGTTTGTTTTGGGGTGAATTACCTGTACCTGTACATCTTTACTAGCCAGCGGTATTTTAAGGACTCCAGATATTGTATCCACCCAATTGCTGTTGGAATAAAGGCGTCACCGAAAACACTCAATTTAAAAATAAGTACACGTGTGGTGATAAAATATACTTTTTCAGATTTTGCCTCAAAAGGCTGTGATTGTAAAACAACCGACGTTCTTTCTTTCTAGCTCTGTATAAAAACGTCGCTGCGAAACATGCGCATCATGTGCACCCAGTCCTGTAATGGTCGAGTGCATACGGCATCTATCTCCCCCTCCCATCCCTTTTTGTTCTTCGTAATTTGACTCTTGAGTTGAGTCAAATGTTGCGTTCCATGGTGAACCGGAAGTATGTCAGAATGCAAAGTCTAGGAAAATATTACATGTATTAGCATAAAACATTGAATAAGTCCTGAACTTAACGGTAAGAGGCACTTTTAAGTTAGACTAACCGAGAAAAAGGTGTATTTACTCCCCCTTCCATACAATTTAGATCATTTAGACAGCTTCCTACCCTGCCCGTCAGAGCCAACCCGGGCTGTGAGGGAAACAACATCTCAGCAGAAAGACCGAGATACTGAATAAAGCTTCCTCCCCACTCGAGAATCTACCTCGGGTCTCCTGCATGTGACAGCGAAGCGCCTATACCACAGACGTCATTTGGATCCGTGAAGGACATGACACTTTTTACGATTATACGCACATAGCCAAAGCTCGGAGGCAGCCAAACCCGAATGACATACATTTGGTGGATTTTGACGAACGGGGAACTCCCGCGAGACATCCGGGATCCAGAACATTCTAATTTGTTTGTTCGGCAACCTCGCACTCGCACAGAAGGCAGAAGATATTCGGAAACGTCTCCGGCGCGCGCGAGCACCCAGGAACTAGACTATTCGGGGACCGGTTAAATTGGTGCGGAATAGAAAAGTAAGCATAGTGGCTGGGCTTGGAAGATAAGGAGGTTAAATTGGTGCAGGATGGAAATTAGAACAATTTAGCATAGTGGCCGGGCCTGCACGCAGTTGTTATGGGGAAGAATTGCCACCTGTCCCCTCCACCTAACACTAACTAACCCTAACCCTAACGCTTTAACTGATGGGGTGAAAGGGACATGCGGACCCGTTTAAGGAGTTAATAAATTGGTGCGGGGTAGAAATAGAAAATCTATATTATAGCTCGAAATCAAGATTAGATATCTAGATATATATATATATATATATAGGGGTCAGCTCTTTGTTCCCTCAGTCAAGTTACATGCTATGTCATGTTAAGTTAAAGTAACTAGTGGAAAAGCAGAAGTCATACTGACCAGAGGTCAAACAATAGTCTAACTGTCAAGTGGTCAAGCTATATTAGTCAATCTGACCAGTGGTCAAGCGACTAGTCAAATTTGGTCTCAAACGCAGTTGCTTCCCTTCTACTTTAAAAAGCCACAGCACAAGCTAGAAACACTTAATTTCGAACATACTGTGCAGGTTTGTCAGTTTGGTTTCACTGGTCACTGACCGTTAGTTGACCTCTGGTCATTATTTTAACTTAAAATGAGGGAACATCATAGAGCGGTTTGTAGGGCTGGGCAATGAGTCGCTTTAGCAAAATCCGGATAATATGTTAGTGCACCTCTTCGGTAAATAATATGTTATGAACCGGTTCGGCAAAGGAGTTAGAACCACGTTGACAAACGGGTTGGCATCACTTCAACAAATGGATGCACCCACTTCGGCAAACGGGTCAGGAAAAAGAGTTAAAGAGTCTTGAATTCAGACAATGTCTTATTGATGATTATCCGATTATCCGGATTTTGCCCACCTCTAGCGGTGTGTTAGGAGAATTAGCTCTATGTTCCCTCAAGTCAAGATATATTTACTTACGTCATGTAGTATGGCATGGCATGATATGACATGGCATTATGACATGACATAGCATGGAACTTGACTTGAGGGAACATAGAGCGGAGGGAACATAGACATGCTCCCATCTAGATCTAGACTAGATCTCTCTCTCTCTCTCTCTCTCTCTCT